ATTTTAAATTTCTTTTCGAAATGTCTATATAAACATGTTAATTCAAATAATATAATATTAAATTTTATTTAAACTGTATATATTACACATTCCACCGCTAGGTATCTGAAATAGTCCCTTTTTCCATTATGGTCCAGTCAAATTAGGAAAAAATCGATATGTATGGTAGAGTTGTTTTTCAGGCAGAACAATACCATTAAAGTTTGGATAAACTAAACAGCTCGCATTTTCTTCCTATTTTTAAAGTATCTACTGCTCCTGCTAATCAAGCTAGAAAGCAAGTTTTGTATGTAAAGTATGTTGGTGTTGGATAAGTTCCTTCAGAGATCTCATCTTCATCCACCATTTTGTTTCAAAATGCTATTTTTTAGAATGTGTGCATGATACTAAATATGGGTTTATTTTGAATATAATGATATTTCCCACATAACAAAGTAACAATTATTATTGTTAAAACGAAGATTATTATTATAAAATATACATAAAAACGAAGCTCCAATGGTATGATTTATAGACTCGGTTTTTGAACTATATGATTAAAAAAATAATAGAAATCCTTAAATCCTCCTCCCTCTCAATTCAATCCTGAATCTGCTACTCGTACCTACGAAATATTTTCTATAAATAGTTTAGAACATAAGTTGTTCGCAAGGGCGGATCTACGGGAGGGGGGCTTTCGAGGTGAAGCCCTACCTACTCCTTAGCTGAGTTTAGTCGCTCAAAAGTCCTCTTTAAATGATTTTAACAAAAATAAATCCTATTTTTATTTAAAGTAAATTTTATTTAGTTTACAGTGAAGCTATCGTAAATTATACCTATCGTACATTCCTTCATAAAAACGTTCCCAACAGCAGCTATTTTAATAAAAGAACAATACTTTCTAATGAGCAATATACAAATTATTATCTTGACCAGTTTTATGAATCGCATGGATTCTTCAAGAAGACTAAAGTTGCTGAAGGTTGCAATGTGCCCTGGCCTATTGGAACTAAATAAAAATTGGATCCGGAAGAACAACCGTATTTTCTAGTGCTCGAATAAAAAGTTGTTTGAAAGAATAACTGAAGTTCATTTTTTAAAAAAAATTATTTTCCTCCATAATGTATTTCACTTGCCAGACTCAGTTCGGATTAAGTAGGAACAAAGTGTGACCGAAGCAAACGCCTTCGCATCTCACGGCGGCCCAAAAACTACATCACTTCACCCTACGAGCCAACCTTTGCTCTTATATTCTATTCTTTGTTTTACAAAATCTCACAGTGCGCCAAAAGGCCAAACGCAAGTTGATCCAACCGTAAGATTAATAAAAATGGTCATGATAATGATTTTTTTGATATTACCATAGAAAATTCGTCTATGAGGATGACTTTCTAGATGGATTTCTTTAAATAGCTGCTTTTTGGAACTTTTTCGGAATTTGTGTTCACCATCCAGAGGGAGTGTCATCCTCTTGCAGAATTCGCTAGTGCAGATCACAACAATAATTATTTATATATATATATATATATATATATAATATATATATATATATATATATATATATATATATATATATATATATATATATATATATATATATATATATCACATTAGAAAATTCATCTATGAGGATGAATTTTGCCTATATTTCTCTTTTCATTAGTTATTAGTTTTCCTGAAGATATTTGACCCAGTTAAGGAAAATGATGAATGGAGAATTAGACGCAACCAAGAACTAGCCAGCTTATACAAGGAGCCGGATGTGGTGAATATATCCGGATAGCAAGGCTGAGATGGGATGGCCAAGTTGTACGGATGGACGAGACCTCAATCCCAAAGAAGCTGCTGAGCATGGAACGGATGGAAAAATAAAAGTGAGCAGGCGGAAACTGTGATGGAAAGATGGAGTAAGTGTTGATGCCAGAATCCTTGGAAGCAGAAACTGGTGGAGGCACAGGATACATGAAGGAAAACTCTAGAGGCAACCAAGATCCAGTAATGGATTGTCGAGCTCGGGATGATGATCACATTAGAAAATTCGTCTTAGAGAATGATTCTTTCCTATATTTTTCTTTACTTTAAATAGCTATTTTTGGTGCTTTTTTTTGGAATTATTTTTCCATCATCCAGAGGAGAGAGAGGGTGCTTCCCCTGGCAGAAATCACTGGTACTGGTCACGATAACAAGTTTTTTTATATATTACATTAGAAAATTCGTCTATGAGGATAATTTTTTCCTATATTTCTCTTTTCTTTAAATAGCTGCTTTTTAAAATCCCCCCCACCATTCAGGGGAGAGAGGGGCGAGCCCCCAGCTTGGATTCGCTATTACTGGTCACGATAATATTTTTTTTTTATTTCACATTAGAAAATTCGTCTTACAGGATAAATTTTTCCTATATTTCTCTTTTCTTCAAATAGGTGTTTTTTTGGAACTTTTTTTGGATTTTTTTTTCCACCATCCAAGGGAGGGCGCGTATTCTGACGGAATTCGCTAGTGTTGTTCACAATAATAATTTTTTATTATATTACATTAGGATATTCGCCTATGAAGGTGAATTTGCCCTATATAACTGTTTTCTTTAAATATCTGATTTTTGGAACTTTTTGGGAACTTTCTTTAGCTTTCAGAAGGGGGAGGGGGGCGCGCGCCCCGGCCGGATCCGCTATTGCCGAGTGTGCTAAATGGTGTCAAATATTTTTTTAAGGAAAAGCAAAATTGAGATTGGTATTTCGCATCTGGAAATACCCTCAAATACTCCCTTTGAAATCAAGAAAATGAAAATTGAGTCAGGTAAGTGGGACTAATATTTTTTTGAAAAATGTTACGATAGATTTACGACAGAAAACGGTATATTTAATTAATTTTAATCAAAGTTAGAGCCTTCGGCCTTGTAGTAGTGATCATTAAAGGGTTCGCGTTGATTCCTAAGTTTTATTAAATTAATATAAAGAAAATATATGTTTTTTTAATTTTGTGTCGATTTTTAATCAAATAAATTATGTTTTCTAATTAATTAATTGTTCTTATCTCTTTTATCCATCTATGCCTCAAGGAATTTAGACGGTTTGACTATAATATCACTGATGAAAACATTTAAAACAAAATTAAATAAATGTGAGCAACAGAGAACATGACCATGGTCGTATTTTTTCTAATTTTTGTTTTGAAAACAGATGAAAATTTGTTGCATTAATGGTACCTGAGGGAATTAGGAAGAATTTGAAGTCATCCGAACTGTTGAATTTCTTTTTCATCTATTGTTTCTGAGTATTTTATTGTTTTTATTTTCGAATTTAATTTATCAAAATCGTGGAAATGGAGGAAAAAATTTGAGATCCCCGAATTAACTTTTTAACACCAACTCGAATCACATACACATTGGTAATCCTACAAATCAATTGGGGGTGCCGGAGAGGTATGCAGAGGCTAAAAAATTCAGGAATAAAAGTACAAACAATGCCAGAAGCAGAATGAAAAAGTCGAGACCTTCCCCCCCCCCCCCAAAGGCACTTCTCAAACTCCAACTCAATTCACATACAAAGCTTTTTTGGTTGATCCAAAGGAATCCACCCCTTAAACAGATTATATATATAATTATTTTAAAGCATTAAAGAACTATAGTTTTTATGCCACGTAGTTTTTGCATAGAGAATCTTGTTTATATATGTGCATAAATGAGTTCTAGGGGTTCTAAAAAGAATAAGAAATACATCCATAACAATTTCGATAAAGATTAATAGTCTATTAATTTCGATAAAAAAAAGACTAAAAAGGAGGTTCTTAATAAATATTAGAAAGGGGATGATAGATAGCACTAGCGGATCCAAGATTTAATTTTGGGGGAGAGGCTTCAGTCCGAAAGCTGTTTTTTTTATAAAGATAACGATAATAACTTTGGAAAAAAAGAAAGAAACTAACTACCTATATGAAACGGTGTAATTACACGAACAGTAATGCTTTAAGAGATAATTTTTTAATATTTATTGCCATAAAACATGGTTATATTTTACCGTTTTGAGGGGAGCTTCAGGAGGAAAAAAGGTTAGAAACTAGTGGATTTGGATGGCCCGGAAGTGTATTATAAAAGGATAGGTTTTTTGGACGGGCTAAATCGGCAAAATATGGAATAATCAGGTCATTGTGGATAATTTTATTAGTAACAAAGTAAGGAGCATTGAGGATTTTCCGAAGAATTTCGGATTGGAATTTAATAGTTTATTGGGTCTCCAAAGCTCAATTTCATAATTCTAATAGGCCTTATTATAGTCAAGTAAATGAGTCTTTTATAGTATAAATGAAGCTTAGAGCGTTTGTCCTAGTAATTATTGAAGTAGTCGGAAATATCAAGTAATTTCTTATCGTTTTAATCAAGTATAAAATGAGGATTCCAAGGATTTCCATTTCCAGCCTAAAGCTCTACCCACCGCAATATTTTTTTTTTAGTTTTGTAAAAAATGTATGCACTTGTCAAGCATTTTATTCCGAACAGCATTATTGTGCCTTTAGTTGGTTTTTTTTTTTTTTTTTTTTTTTTTATACTGTCCTTCAAGGACCATATATATATATATATATATATATATATATATATATATATATATATACACTTTATTGTTTTTTCTTCCAAAGCAATAATAATTTAAAAAAAAAAGATTCTCCCCTTTAAAAATTAAATCCTGAATCCGCTAATGTCCTAATGTGCCTAATAAACAAAACTTGCCAATATTTCTGTTAATATTTAATGTTTTTATTTATCAAGGGTGATATGCATCATCTTATTTGTTTATACTAATTTGGAAAATATTTATATTTAGATTTAGTTTGTTTATCTAAAGTTATATTTCTATCTATAGGTTATAATCTACATTTATATACATCATAAGAAATACAGAAAATATTCCTAACAGACGGATTCTGCCGTGTTACTGGTTTAACGAGCTAAATCATAGGAAAAAATGTTAGAACATTGTGCAAACAACACATTTTCAGGCTTTATTGTTAGTAAAATTAGTATATATTACCAATATTCCGAAGCTGATAAGCAGAGGGGAGCATATACAGAAGATGCTTAACTGGTTCATGTTATAAGCTTAAACAATAGCAAAGTTCTGCCTTCTATATATAATATGAATCAGATATAGAGAGGGAAATATTATTTTGTGACGGGAAGTAATCGAGGTTACTCAAAGGCACATTTTATCATTATGATTGCACATACAAAATCTGGTGCGCGCAACACACAACTTTCACTTACCGCTTAACTTTGAATAGAAATTATTTTCAGCTAAAAAATCATAAATACCATTAAAATAACGAAAGTCCTATTAATTATATCACCGGTTGATTATGGATTGTACAATTCGTTGATTATAGATTGTACGATCCACTGATTATGAATTGTACGAATATTAATTATTAAACTGTTATTTTCCATTTCTAAGTTTACTAAGACGGAATTAAGAGATTTACATTGCCTGTCATGGAGAGGTCAAAAGTGATGATTGTAACTGGATTCTATTGGAATATGGCAAAGAGGAAATTTATTCTCCCAAAATCATTTCCACTCAACTACATCATGACGTTTCGGAATCCACTTTTATCTCCCATCTTCAGACTAGAAATTAGAAAATTATCGCTACCAACAATTTTATACAATGGAATTCCTTTTCTTCTATTTTCACCCTGGATTTTTTCCTGTAGAACTAGAGATCTTCACTGTGCTCTATTTTGTAATTTCTTCATTAATCCTAAGGGAGATACTTATTTTCGAGCTATATAAGTAAGAATATGTGTTACAGTAATTTATTCTCCCAAAATCATTTCCACTCAACTACTTCATGACGTTTCGGGATCCACTTTTATATCTCATCTTCAGACTAGAAATTAGAAAATTATCGCTATCAAAATCGTTCTTGATTAATTGAGAATTAATCAAGAAATTAATGAAGAAATTAGAATTAATGAAGAAATTATAATATGGAGCACAGTGAAGATCTCCAGTTCTACAGAAAAAAATCAAGGGTGAAAATAGAAGAAAAGAAATTCCATTGTATAAAATTGTTGGTAGCGATAATTTTCTAATTTAGTTATGTAGTTCTGCTCCGCCACTAACTGGGGAAATTCATCCTCCGTGAGGCCATAGACTCCAATTTTTCTCATCATTTCGGCCGTTAGTCCATCAAAGGCGGTGCAGTTGACTATGACATGCTCAGCAGTCTCCGGTACTCCACAAGTGGGGCATAGGGAATCTATGTCTTTTTCAAACTATTTAACTTAGAGCGGAAACCCCCATGCCCAGTAAGGAATTGAGAGACCCAGTAGTCCGGGAGAACCCACTTCGCATTCAACTTCGAACGGTGGGGAAATATTTTCTTAAAGTTGCTCCTTTCGAGGTAGTTACCCACTCATTAGGATTCCACTCATCTGTGGTATCCTCTCGGATAATCCTCTTCCATTTTCTTGGGTCTTCTGCAATCCTCACCCTAATATTCTCTGGAAGATCTGCTGAGCCTTTTCTTTTTAACTTAAATATCAGCAAGTCTTCTCGCAAGAGAAGGTCGAGAGGTACCCCTTCTGCTAAGATCTGCACCGCCTCGTGAGACACACTTCGGTATCACTTGGTGACACGCAACATACCTGTTCGTTGAATCGTCGCTAATCTGCGTTTCTGACGGTGTGAGAGATTCTGAGACCACGCAGGAAAGGTGTACCTCAGAATACCCACTATCATTCCATCGTAAATGATCCTCGTAGCTGGGTATCTGAGGTCCCAAAATGCACCCCCTAGGCGACTAAGTCCATTCAAGGCAAAGGCTACCCTATTTCCTAAGTAGTCCAAGTGAGGAATCATATTAAATCCTCTTCCAAACCTTATGCCAAGGTAGGTGACCACCTCACTCGGATGTACTCTCGTTCCGTGTATACACAGATTGATAGGGTGTGAACTATCCGTCTTTCCCTTCAGCAAGATCGCCTGGGTCTTTGATGCGGCCATTCGTAACTTCATCCTCTCACACCATTGCCCGACCAGATTGGCGCACCGCTCTACTTGTAGCTTTATTCCGGCTCTGCTGTTTGACGCTACTACTGCCGCCAAGTCATCGAAGTAAGCCATAGCAGGGAACCGCTCATCTTCGAGCACACTCAGCAACTCATCAAATAATATCTTCCATAGAGTCGGACCAAGGACTGATCCCTGAGGGCATCCCCTCTCTATGGAAGCTTCAGTTTCATAAGAGCTACCTCTGACCTTAACAAATCTGTCCTGGAGATAGCTATTTACGAAGGAGTATAGGTTGCTGAGGACATCGTACTTCTGTAGCTGATGAAGTGCTCGCAGACCGATATTGACAAAATCTGAGAAAGATTACTGTAAATGGCCCTGCAGCTTGGAAATGAGTTCTCTAGGAAAAAAAACTCAGAATAATTTCCGATTCCGGACAAATCGGTGACCAAATAATTAGTACATTCCTTCATGAAAACGTTCCCTACAACAGCTATTTTAATAAAAGAACAATACATTCTAATGGGAAATATACAAATTATTATCGTGACCAGTTTTATGATTCGCATGGATTCTTGAAGATTATAGTTGTTGAAGGTTGCAATGCGTTCAGATTTATTGAAACTAAGTAAAAACTGGGTCCGGAAGAAAACCCATATTTTCTTGTGCTCTAATAAAAGATGATTCGAAAGAATAAATGAAGTTTTTTTTTTTTATTAATAAATTTTCTTCCATCATGTATTTCACCTGCAAGACTCAGTTCGGAGTCAACAGGAACAAACTGCGAAAGGAGCAAAAGTCTTCGTATCTCACGGCGGCCCAAAAACTATATCATTCTTTTCTTTAAATAGATGTTTTTCAGGATCTTTTTTTCGGAATTATTTTTCCGACTGGAAAAAATCACTTTGTGCTGCTCACGATAATAACTTTTTTTACTTTCACTTACGTATATATGTAATCTATAGAAAGGGTAAGTATTGCGATCGCCAAAATTTTTTTATAGTACATTAGAAAATTGTAATATCAATGAGGATGAATTTTTCCAATATTTTTCATTTCTTTTAATAGGTACTTTTTGTCAATTTTTCGGATTTTTTTTTCCAACATACAAGGGAGGGCATGTCCCCTGACAGAATTCTCTAGTGCTGGTCATGATAATAATTTTTTTATGTTATATTAGGAAATTCATCGTCAATGAGGATGAATTTTAGGTTACTATAGGAAGCATGGCAGCAGGAGCTCAAACAAGCTTATGTTGGAGTACTGCAGTAGACCACAGGCAGATCTATAGGGGGCTTTCAGGGCTCTGAGGAGGAATTACAACATACATAGAAATGTTTAAGTTGCCAACTGATAAATAACAAAAACATATTTACTTTCCTTCCTACTATCATTTATACTTCATAATTATCACTCTATTAAATAGTTAACCAAAGTTTATACTTATTTCATTGGTATTCAAAATTTTAGACAGCTCTAAGAGATCAATAGAGTCAAATGTCTTTCTGAAATCTATAACTCAGAACATATTTGTATTCTAGTTTATACAGAACAATTTTAGAATCAGTTCATATGAATCTACACTGATAGTCTCAAATAATTTTATTGGAATTATTTTTCAGTCATCTTTGAGAAAAATTATTTTTGTTTGTTTGTTGTTGTTTATAGGCGTAAAATCCTCAGGTCATCAACTCCGAAAAATTAATTTTCATATCTGTTTGGGATAGTTAGAATCGATAAATACTTTAACACATTTGAAGAAGTGAGGTGGTCTTATTATAATTCTTCACATATTACAATCTGTTCTTGCCACTGTTTCTAAATTGGTAATAATTTTTGAAATAACTAGGACATTTGCATCACTAAGTAAAATTGGATAAGAAACTAGATGAAATTAATTAGGAATGAGATATTCAAGAATAAGTTATATAAAGTATAATTATTAATCTACAAATACACATGATCAAACAACCAATATATAACACACTTTTATTTTATGAAAAAAAGCTTTAATATATACATACATGTTAAGTAAAAATTAATGGGACATTAAATTTGTTTTATCTTCATTTTTACACCTTTTAAGGAGACAAAATGAAGCAGAGCACTTATAAACCTTCATCAGGTCAAAACCACATTTCTGATTCAATCATATGTGTATATATATATATATATATATATATATATATATATATATATATATATATATATATATATATATGTGTGTATTATTTTATGTTATAATGGCTTAGCTACATTGGTATTCACTACCATCATCAGTCTTAGAACTGTTCGTGTTTGTTTTAGCTTACTTAATCAATAATTCTGTCACTGTCATTCTAAAAATAAAAACAAATTAATATACAACTATAAATTAAAATGTGATAAAAACATTTGTTTACAGTTTTTTTGTTTAAAATAAATTGTCAAAACAAAACACCTTTATAAAAAAAATAAAGACAGAGAATAAAATCTGTACACAACAATAATATTATATACAAATAACAATTATTATGATCTAATTGTTAACTTTAAGCTTGGTTTGAACCTTGATATTATTTATATTATAAGATAAATAAAATAATCCCTATTTGAATGTCAGTCTCCTAAGATCAGTGGTATAATAAAAACTGAAAACATAAGTAATAAATATGATATGCCTAAAATAACTAAAACATATTATATAATATGTACATAAATAATAAAATAATCATATTAACTATAAACTATACAATGTATATATTATGAAAGAATAATATTAATAATAATATACCACTGAAAGTTCACCAAATACAGTTCATAAGAATGAAATGTTCAACAGATAACATCAATGAAATGAGTAACATAAGTAACGCTACAAACATATAATTATTAAAATATAGTTCAAGACATCTTATGTAGATAAATTTTACATTATTGAAAGAATAACAAATGTTAGTTGAAGCTATTCTATACGATGTTGACTTGATATGTAATTTCACTGCATTAACATGAAAGAAAAAATTATGTTCAACAAGAGTCAATCAAGTTTACAAGCTGCTTCCTATTGCTGAGTCCAAAGGTTAAGCTGACTTTACCTTACATCTAGTCTAAAATCTCTGATAAAGCTAGTAAAGATATATTTAGCTCTGAAATAACATTAATCTAGAACTGTTTCACTAAAAGACTGCTCAGTGACCAGGAATACATATTTTGAGTTTTGAATAATTTAACATTCACTCAGAAATCAACTTAAGTGAGTTAAAATTTTATAAAAAAGTTGAAAAGCTAAATCAAACAGAAATAGTTTAACTTATAGAAGCTTTATTTAAAAAAATAAATAAATAACAGTAAATTCATTCTATATATTTTGGGCACCTGACCAATTTTATTCCCACAAAAGGAATGCATAAATGAAATAAATGTTACTTTATAATCATTTAAGTTAATAGAATACAAATTAATTAATTCTCCATCTCCTGCTTTAATTTTAAATATTCAATCTGAAGTAACTATTAGACAAAGAAAACATAGATCAACACAGATGCACTGATAATTTAACATTAATTTTGAAATATTTATATTTAAACCTCATACTAGTAATATTATATATTAAACATTACATATACAGCAATTGTAGTTTATATAAAAATTTGGCATCACAATAAATAATAATTCTGTATCAGAATCCATCTGTTGAACATTCATTCATATAAGATATATTTTAACAACTTATTGAGAAAATAAAAGTATAAACCAACAAAAAAGCACCAAAGAAATCATCACATTTTCATACCGTACTTGACATACAAATATTAGAAATGTAAGTTTGTAGAAGCTGGTTTAAAAATATTAATTGGGTTAGAGAAAAATTTGAGAAAAGTGGAAAGTTACTCATTACCTTTTCTGATTCGCATTTAACACTAAATCCTAATGTATGCCCAAATGTTATTGTTTTATCCTTTCAATAATCGAATCACTTGGTTAACTGAAACATCTAATTCTTTTTATAAAATTATAATTACCAAATTGATAATTATTATTAAAACATTAATAGAAATAATCAATTACAGCTGCTAAAGCTATACATTTGGTGCAAAGTAATGAGGTGAAGGTATGTTTAATGAAGAGATTTCACAGATGATCATAAAAATATTCTGTACACTCAAAGAAGTAAAAACTAGAGCCCAGTAGTATTCATTTCATTTAGGTCTGATTCTGTTACAAGTAGGAAAAATTAGCTGCACAATGGCACTTGGTTGGTATTGCAAATTATTATATTTTTTGTTGTGTACACAAACTGATTATTTTATAAAATGAATGTAATTTTTTAAAAAAATGATACGGTTCATTTAGACTAGCAGTGCTTTATGAATGAAAAATAACTCCAAAAATAATGTGATACAATCACTAGATTAACTAGGAATCCAATCACAATATATCCTCCATGAAAAGTAAAATAATATATCAAAAATTTAGAATTGCTATCTTCATTTAATGCTAATCATATATTTTCTTTACCTTCAATGTTAATATTATTTTTTCTTTAGTCATTTTTATTTTCTCACAGAGAAAAAGGACTCAACAGTGAAAAAAATCTCACTGCTTATGAGAAACAATATTCTCTTATATATTTCAAATAAAATAATTCTCTTTTTTTCTTTGGTTTCAGAGAATATATTTCATCAAAGCATGAATAACATTGCTTCTTTTTTCTTAATTGTTTTTCTTAATAAACAAATGCATACATGTCTATAAATACATAAATTATTTAAACATAAAAAAAATAAAGCAATTAATTATGAAATATAAAGGCTAAATTAAGCATTAAAAAAATATAAGTAGTCTAAGTACAAGGATCCCGCATCTATTGCACCAATATTTTTGGGTAACCTTTGTTTATCTCGGAAATTTTTTTGAACAAATCAATAGTATTAACAGAAATAAATAACTATTGCAAATGAGAATATATTTTAAATAGCAAGGAAAAATGAAATTCGCTCTACCTCTCCAAAAAATTGTACCAAAAGACAAAAAAAAAGAATCAATATGACCAAAACAAAGTGTTATGCAAGTTGAATAATAATCAAAAAGTTTTATATTCGAAAATCTAAAAGCATGTGAAAGAAAAGTGAAGATTGAGAATAGTGAATAATGTAAATGGTCTTGAATTAAAACTGTTTATTTAATTGCTTATTTAGATTGTTTATATATATAATAATAATAATAATAATAAGGCTTAGCGAACCCGAAGGTTCGATGCCAACACCACCAATTATATATATATATATATATATATATATATATATATATATATATATATATATATATATATATATATATATATATATATATATATATATATATATATAAATATATAAAAATACTTTGATGATTACTTTTCTTTAAATATCATTTCACAGTTTTATAAGAGAACTCGGATAAAAAAATTAACACAATTTAAAAGTTGTTTAGGTCAATATTTAGAAATTCTTGAATTTAAAATTTTCCAAGAAATTTGTAGGTATAAACAGAAAATTTTGAAAAATCTTATTTTGGAATGCACTTTTTTCAGTTATTTTTTATAAATGACACATACTTCATTCATCGTAGCCATTCCTATATTTATTAGAAATCCTCAAATTGAAGCTTTTTCAATATCAAAGCAATATTCAAGAGCAGTCCAGATCTGAGCCTAATTTAAATAAGTAAGAAATAAGTCACCAAGGTAAAGAAGAAGTCCAACTATTATCTATAATTAAGAATTTTTCTAAAAACTCATTGATGAGTACTAAAATTTATTCTAATATTGCAAAATAGACAACTGAAGGAAACTCATCCAATTAAAATTTAAGCTGGAACAAAAAAATTGATTAAGTTTGTTCTAATTATTAGTCTTCATATTTCTTTAACATGTAGCTTCAATCAGACTTGGACTTTCTTTCACATGAACACTACTAATTATGGCAAAAAATTGCACAGATAGTAAATGTTACTTAACAAGGAATCAGGGAAAATAAATAAAGGTGACCACTTTTTTGCATAAATTGTGATAAACAAAAAGAGTGGTTACATACATCACTATTAAAATTAACAATTTAAAAAGTAAACATACATGAATTTGTCAGATTTGATATCTAAAAATTGATATTCTTGTTTAAAAAATTAAGAAATAAATATGAAGGATCGCGGGAAAAACCAATAAGTAATTTTTTAATTGAATTATTGGTATACGACGAATCAGAATGAAAAATTGCATTCTTCCAGGCAGTTAGGAACATTAGATTAATTCATCAAATTTATTACCTCACGTCATAACTCCCTATAATAATGCACCTTCACATGCAGAATCTATTGATGCCAAAAACTTAATTTTCTCTTTTAAAAGACACCTGCTTTTTCCTCAGACCCTTTATATATAGAATCCGTAGAAATTCAAAGGCTACCCATAGGTAATATATAATATAATATACTTAATTTCATAGTAGCAATTCTTAAATAATATTTCCCTTAGATAATCTCATAAAATATATATGCATAAATAAAGTAAGTTTATTTGGTTTATTGATAAATGGTCAGTTTTCATTTTTGGATTCGTTGCTAAGATAAATAACTGTAATAACATTAACAAAACTGTACAAAAGATAATAATCATGGGGAAATAATTGTTCGATGTATGAATAAATAAATCAAAAAATAGAAAGAAAAAAAAAAGAATGGCATGTGAGAAAAAAATATTAAAATTAAATCATTTTAAGCACCAATAAATAGTTCCATTTAACCTAAATACTATTTTTATTTTGTATATATAAGAGAAAAAAGAGGTTACTTTTTAAAAAATAAAAATTATCTTCTTATAAAAACTGAGTATTACAATACAATCATGTCACAATACAAAAAAAATTTCTTTTTCTTATTAGACTGTATTCTTATCTTTGGATTAGTCATTGAATCTATTTGTACACATAGCAATCTTATTAATTTACACAATTTAAATTGTATGTCATCAGTTTTATTAAATCCTTAAACAAGGATTGAAAAAAACAAATAAATTATTTAACAACCACAAACATTATTAGCAGAAGTCATGAAAGTGTTAATGTATTTATACATAGAGTAAATTATGATTGGTACCCTAACAATATTAGTTTGAAACAAAATCTCCAATGCAAGATATTTTACATAAATATAAAATAAAAAGTTATGTATTAAAAACTCATACCTAATTGATTCATTTATCAGCTGAAATTAAATAGAGCTCACTTTTTAAAAAAATAAATTGTTTTGTACATATATGAAAAAAAATTAAAAAAGAAGATTAAATATGAAAATTTAATGTGGGGAATATCGTTAGCAAAATGCATGTCACAAAGGCCTATTGTTGTATTAAAATAAGCTTCAGCCAAGAAAATATTAGAACATTATACAGCAGGCTACCAAAGGGAAACGTTACGCTTCTCTTATTGCAAAGAATTAGCTTAGTCAATTTGACTGATCCTTTCGGCTACAAGCCTGCTATTGATAAAAGTTAAAGAAAAGGAGATATCTTCAGCGATGTTTAAACAGGATCGAGAGGCTCCTTAACATCTGTCTTTAATAGGTACAATTTGAAAATTTAAGTGCCAGGATTTAGCTACTAGGAGTCTCTGCCGGGTTTACTATGACCTGTACAACATATCCTGGGCTGATTTTTGCATCTTCTATGTGCAACTTATCTCCAAGCAGTTTGCCACCGAAAAACCACCTTTGACGAGATGGCTCCAGACCTTCTTGAAACTGAAAAAATAAGGTAACGATTTTCATCATTTTTTTGTTCTATAGAGTAAAATCTGCAATAAAATTAAGAACTAAAAATATAGATTAGATAAATGGATCTCTCACAACTTGGCTATTGAATTAATAAGACAAGATAAGTTTTATTACTTTTAAATTATATTTATGTGTACACAATATTTCAATGTATGTATCGATAATGATTAATCATCATCATGAATGGCTCTACAACTCTTGAAGAGTCAAGGCCTCCCGCAATTTCAACCGCCAGTCCTCTCCAAGTAATGCCTCTGCCTTCCAGTTGTGAACACCAAGGATACTTCGGGCGTCGGCTTTCACTCCATCAGCCCATCTGAGTCTCGGTTTGCCTACCCGCCTTGTGGCGAAGATCCGCTCATCCATCAATTTCCTTAACACATGTTGTTTAGACATACGGTATAGGGTAAACATACAAAGAATGGGTCCTGCCCTTCTCAACCTGCCAATTTTCATTAGCCTCACAACATTGGCTTCTTTAATATAGCTGCATCAGCTCATCGTTGGATCGCATTTGTCGTTCCTGATTAATATTTATTATTGGGCTGAATATTCTTCTTAGCACACGACGATCAAACCGAAGAAGAGCTGTTTCTTGGGCTCTTGATATTATCCAGCACTCCGACCCATATATTAGTACTGGTCTGATCAGAATTTTGTACAAGAGCAGCTTGGTTTTACGAGAAATCACTCTACTTTTGAGATGTCCCTGGAGAACAAAATAAGCTCTATTTGCGTCCATAATGCGCCTCTGTATTTCTGGATTCATATCGTTATTTACATTAACTTGCGAGGCAAGGTATATAAATTCCGAGACATCTTCAAAAGTCATCCCTCCGATTTCTACATTTGCCTCTCTGTGGCCTCCATCCTTTGGGTCAGCCCGCATAAACTTTGTTTTTTTCTCATTGACCTTTTAAGTCAATTCTCACTACTGCTCCTTGTAGTGCTAAGAAAGCATCTTTTATAGCTGCCCATGTGCTTCCAACCAATACAATGTCATCGGCAAACCCTAGTAATTGCACTGAATGATTAAAGACCGTCCACCAATCTGAATTTGGGATCCTCTAATGGCACATTCGAGGGCAATGTTATAACGATTAATGATAAGCTGAAATTCAGATTGAAAGTATCAGTCATTTTAAATAGGTTTCAGTAAAAGGAGAAATTTATGAGATAAAATAAAGTAGTGTTTTGGAATTTTATTCGATTAATTGTACAGTATTTAAATTTAATGTAAAATTAATTTATATATATTTTTAATTTTATTGTTTATTATTTTAAATAATTATAAAATCAAGTGTGTCAGGGAACTGGCAACGTATGGATGTTAGGTTTTTTAGATGCACAGAAAAAAAAAAATTTAAATGGAAACCTGATTTCCTTCATTCAAAACATACAACATTGAAATAAAAAATATCATTTAACATTTAAATAAAATGGGTGGACTATGAACTACACCCTAACCTGCTCGGCCAGCACGCCCTCTTTAGTGATAGATATGATCATTTCTATTTTGTATAAATATCTGAGTATCATTAAACACACTTTTCCTTCACTTAACTATGCATGAAACATACATAGTAAGGGAAATATATATATTAATTTATTATACACATATAGTGAAGACATTTTTCCCGATATCTGGGCTGAGGTTAAGCTAAGAAAGAGGCTGAGCCAGTTGCTGTTCTCAAGCCAGGTATAACAGAGGTTACTGTGAAATCGTACCACCCAATATGCCTCATAAACGTAATGGGGAAAGTACTAGAAAGTTTGATGCTGTAATCAACGTCTGAAAGATGTAATCAACTTGCTCTCTCGTGATCAGTTCTGAGGTCGAAAAGGACAATCGACAACAGATGCTGTTAACCAGCTCATATCTACAGCTAAGGACTCACCCTCTAAATACTTAGCAGTCTTCTCCTACGATGTTGCAGGCACGTACGATAATATGTGGTGGCTTGCAATAATGGATGAGCTAAAGAAATTAATGTGCCCTAAAAATATATACATACATACATCTTCAGCTCTATAGTCTAGTCCGGGTCCTGGCCTCCAGAAGAAACTGTCCCCACCAGTCTCTATCGCTGGCCATCGTCCACCAGCTCGATGCTCCCAGCCACACTGCATCCCTTCCAACCTGGTCTAACACCATCTTGTCCATGGTCTTTCTACTTTTCTTTTTCATTTCTTTGCATGGTTCTTATCTGCTTGGAAATGCTATCTTCAGCCATCCTTTGCACATGAACAGCCCAACAAAGCCTGCTGATCCAGATAAATTTTACTGCTATGACATCCTTATGCTTTTCGTACAGTTCCCGGTTGTGCCTTATTCTCCAGGTGCCATTTTCATATGCTCAATTAGGATATGATCTATCTGATTTCCTGTGTTGCCATTCGGAGAAGTCCACATACCCTAGTGTACTTCTTTGTGAATAAACAGTATTTCTCCTATAACTAGATTCTGGCTAACAGCAAAATTCAGTAGTCGGAAACCATTGTCTGAATAGTCTGAATGCAATCCATGCTTCCGGACATTACTGCATAAATGGTCCTTTCATATTTTGGCGTCCAGAAATATATACAGGCTCACACTATCATTTTTGTCAAAGCGCTCTGTTTACAATCAACTACTGGGAAAGAGAATAGCAAGACTGGTTCTGAGGGGTTATGCTCAGAGATCAGTTTTGGGACTTCCTCTATGGAATAGAAACATGAACCCTCTCCTTGTTAATTTGAGAGATGCAGGGTGCGCGCCACCTGCTTACGTAGATGACTTTGCTGTTGGGGTAGAGACGAGATCATGCCAACCTTTGGAAACAAGGGGAGTGGAAATCACTGACATTATCTTGCAATGGTGCCAGGAAAAAAAACTATTTGCTAACTACCAGAAGACTCAACTCCTATTTTTGAAGGGAGAAATGGAGGGGTTCCTTACCAGAGTAAAGTTGGTAGATGTTATAATAAAACCATCTCGAAAGGTGAAGTTTTTGAGAGTACTACTAGGCGAGAGATGTGGTTACTACTAATCACCTTAAGGAAATAAAGAGCAAAACTATTCTTTGTTACAGCTGTCTCGACACGATAGCAGGAGAGAGAGAGAGTGACAGAGAACAAATGTTTCCTCCAACGAACGTAGATCTCTTCACCTTTTCCAGTACCTCTGTCTCATTCAATCTCAAAAAAACATCTGACTCTCTCTCTTCTCACTGCCTCATGAGCGCGCATCCACTACCACATAAATTAATTTATGTATGAGAATTAATTAATTTAATTAATAAATTTATGTATGAGATAGTAGAGTTTTGAGTTTAAAGTAAGTCCCTGGTGCCACACTTTATCAAATGGCTGGACAACTTCCATAAACCGGTCGGATGTGTATTGTTTTTGCTCTAGTGCTCCAGCAATGTAGTCAAAAACTCTGTGTAATTGTTGTATTGTTGAATGGAACGTATGAAAACCAAACTAATGGTCAGGAATTATATTATGCTCCATCCGTATGTCAACCAATCTTTTGTATATTAATTTTTCTAAAAGTTTAGAACATATTGAGAGACGACTTATCAGTGGGAAGGATGAGGAATTGAAAATGTTTTTGTCGTTTTTGTGTATCATTTTGATGTGTGAATATTTTCATTGAAGTAGGAATTCACTTTTCCTCAGGATACAGTTGTATCTAGTTGTAAAGAACATCAGTGCTTTCCTGGGCATTTGCTGAAGCACCTCGGCAGTTATTAAGTCATAACCTGGTGCTTTTCTTTTAGGTAGATGTTTGATTTTCTGTATAACTTGATTAAGGATTTTTTTTTTTTTTTTTACTTGGCATAGACCCATCACTAGACTCATGGTCAAATATTACTAGGTTAACTATCTCAAAGCCACCATGCTTCCTTTCTAGCTTAGCACCATATAAATAAAATAAAATTCTTCTTTCTTTATATATATATATATATATATATATATATATATATATATATATATATATATATATATATATATATATTACAAGCTTTTGTTTTAAATACTCATCCTTGTGATATGTTCTTTTAATTAAAATCCAATTGTTCCAATCCAGGGAACCAAGTTTTTGCTTGAATTTATTTCTTAATAAATTCTTATTAACATGTATCCTGTCAGTTAATAATGATCCAACAATTACATCCCAAATTCTTTAATCACACATCACAAACCTTGAAGAATGGTGTCAAAACTGGAGGATTAAAATAAATTCCAATAAATCCCATCAAATCACCTTTACCCTTCGTCGTAAACCTATGACTTGCTGTCCTATAGTATCCTTTAATAACACCCCACTTATCCCTGTAGAACAAATCCGATACCTAGGACTCCAGCTGGACAAACGTCTCACTTGGAATCCTCATACAAGACTGAAACGACAAGAAACTGCTCGACATTTCCGCTTACTCCAACACTTACTGGACAAACGCTCTAAACTTCCAATTAATTACAAACGACTCATATACATGACTATAATAAGACCTATTTGGACTTATGGAGTTGAGCTATGGGGCTCCACTAAACCATCAAATTCCTCTCGTATCCAATCCAAAATCCTTCGTAAAATCCTCAATGTTCCTTACTTTGTTACAAATAAAATAATCCATAAAGACCTCAATGTTCCATATGTTTCCGATTTGGCCAAATCCAGATACCTATCCTTCCATAATAAACTTCATAACCATCCGAATCCTCCTGTTTCTAACGTTGCTTCCTCTTCGATTCCTGATAACCCTCCGAGGCATCTGAAAAGAAGATGGCCTCGTGATCTCCTCATGTAGACAAATTATTAGAGTGCTATCAGTGAGTTGTTTCTCAACAAGCGTGTTTCATGTGATTATACTCCTCTGTACACATTTACTTGATGTATTCATACTAATACAGTTGTAAATATCATAACAAAAGTTTAAAAAAAAAAAATTTAGATTTAGTCCACTTGCATGTATAAA